GGGGGAAATGACTCGGTATGAAAATAGAGCACATTCAATCTGGGGAAAATATTCGCTGCAGTTCCATGACCGCTATTCAAGCTATCTACTCTGTACTTTTATAGGACCCGCAAGCACAATTTTTCGAAGTTGAGGCGGGGTCATAACCTTGTAAGTACCAGAGATAGTCAGAACTTGAATCTATTCACTATATTCCGCCATCTCCTTAACCCTCCCCGCAATTTCCTTCTGCTAAAGATTGAGAATGTAGTATACATAGAAAGATAGAATCCCAAGTATCGAAACTCCAAGCAAAGAGAAAGAGATTCGGGACCCCCGTATATGGCTTTGTAGCTCCTTGTGAACAGATGAAGCAGATCAGATGTAACTATAGCTATCGCAAGCGTCTTCCATGTATCCATTCTGTTTTTTTCTTACCTCTCCAACAAATTCGGGGAGTGGCAAAAATGTATACCTGTGATCAAATTCATGACAGTGTGGTATAAGCAAGTGATAACAATGACTGTCTTTGAAAGGTTCTAAGGAATCTTGCCTTCCTGTCGCGGTGCAACACGCGATCATAGGCTCGATAACAATCAGGAAATGTGTCCATCAAGCGCGGCTTAATTTTTCTCTTTTATTTCGCATGGAGATTATCTCAAATGCTATGTTACCCTTTTATGTAAGATAAGATAGGTGTGCTAAGAGGCGTGAGAAGCAGGGTGTAAGAAAAAGCAGATCTCTTTACACTTTAAGGACTTGTACCCACTGATACGCCCCCAAAATCGAATAAATTACCATAAGGGTCGCAGTAATGTAAATAATAAGGTGTAGATACCAAGAGGCAGTCAGGATCAATAGACTACCAAGAAAATTCTCCGGCCAAACAAAACTAGGTTGATCGCCAACAAAAATCGCGGACTTCTGAACAACAAATTTTGTTTAGAGCCTGAACAAAACCAAACAGCCAAAGTGAAATCAGCGACACAATAACATTTGAGATACAAGCGACAAAGATATTGGCGATTCATATGCACATCAGAAGATTACATGCGATGAGACTTAAAGCTATGGATAAATTCACACTCTCGGCCGGCACCTACACCATGATTGTCTAGTCTTAGCGTAGCGTATGATTGTGAATGGAATATATACTCTGTTGCAACATTTAATCATTCTGTGATAATGCATCGTTACACTGGTTTTCTGTGTGAAATTCTTGAGATCAGAGCACATTTGGCCTACAAGCAAGGTGGATAAAAGAATCCAAGTGAAAAATTGTCAGAGCACAGATAAATCCGTTAACACATCCTCAAAAAAGATTCTTAATCATATCGTATATTGTGATCGGAAGTATAATCTGTAAGTGTCAGATCTGTCTATTTCTCTTAGGACGGCGACCGGTCTTACCTCTCGTAGAAAGATAGTAAGTTGTTCTTTAACCACAATATTAGAGATCAATATGGAAGGTGCGACTGCAGGTTCTGTAAAGTCCACGTCGCACGATCGTGTGTACTCGGAAGAATCAATCTCCTTCCAAGCTAGAATAAGAATACACTTCCAATGAAGCAAATTTTCCACTCGAGAATGCGGAAAATAATCGTCATAGTTTCAATCTTCCTATCAACAACGAAATTTTGAATCGTTTGCAGCTCAATTCACATTGCACGGCGAAAAAAACAACAAAGAAACAACGCGCACGATACACACTACCACGATGCGGTCTAAAATCTTCAAAAGAAGATTCAAGCTTCCTAGATCAAGCCCAACACCGACACAATCTCAGATACCAGAAAGTGTAGCCACCAAAGTACAGTTCTACCAGAATTGCTTCATCGTCGCATTCTCTTCTCTCATGGGAACGATATGGTATACCGGCAAGATGTTCTGGGAGTATCGTAACGAGATCGCACGTCTAAAGAATGAGAACGACAATTGGAGAATTTGGTGAAATGAGGAAGGAGGATAAATTGCGAGCACATGCAATGAAATGCGTGAAGGCGCGAGAGCTGAAAATACTGAGAATGAAGCCAACATAACTTCCGGACTCAAGAGAGAGAACGAGCAGGCCAAGGCTATAGAAGAACTAATTTCTTGCAACGAGGGATTCTATAGAGAGAATGAGGAAGTGAAGAAGGATTTGAGGGAACTTTTGGTTTGGTTCGAGAAAAGGGAGCAGGAAGGCGTTTGGAAAAAATGAAGGAAAGCGATAGCTGTATGTTGGAACCAACCATGGTGAATGATAGTATTCATTTAATTCATGTTTATCTTGTACGACTGGAGGGTCAGATAGCATCCATCAAGGCCTGATAATAACTGTAGAATGTAGCTCTTGAGTTCTGTCTGTTCTACAAACTCTAACAATTCGATATAACATTTTGTTGATGGTTCCTCGGAAATGGACCTTTGAGCTTTCAAAGACCCCCTCACATTCAAGCTCAGTATAACAAACTATTGTAAATTCGCTGAAAACAAAATGCTAGCGGATATCATATCATGAATCCGATGTGTATATCAATTCCTTTATAGTCCCCGACCAGAGTTTCGAGTGAACAAAAAGGGTGTAAAAGGATTCGAGGATTATATTAGCGCCGTCTCACTGTGGCTGAACCCCGCACCAATAATGACATTGCTTTGATTCACACTCCACTGACACACCTGGACCTTCAACCACTTTCAATTCCATTCCCCTTCTTTATAACCAACATCAACTGCTCTAAATGACAACTACGGTCCATTGCTTCTAGCTTCAAAAAATTAACATACAACCATCTCAAATAATGCAATCATGATATCTCCTTTCATGGATTCTCCAAAACGAAAACGAAATGACCCCCAGGCACCAACTCCGCCGGATTCCTCACCTATGTGTCTCCAAACTTCGATTACTTTACCTACATTATCTCCAGAAGAGGCTGGCCAAGGTAGTCCACGTACAAAAGTCGCATACCACTTCCAGGGTCTTGCCCTTGATGGACCCACCGATATAAAGAAATTGAATCTCAAGAAGAAGGGACAAGAAGCAACAAATGCTGAATCTGATATGCGCAAAAGGGTTAAAATGTTTGCTTCTAGGGATGTGGATATGACTGGGAGTACAGTAACTGAAATTCCCGAGACACCACAACCAAAAGCCTTCAGGGCTGTTATTGGGGAAGAAAGGAAAGTCGATCCAATAATTCAGGAGATGGGAAATAATATTCGACTTCATAACGAGGTTGATCCCATAATATTTCGAGCCGGATTAAGTGATGCAAAAGAAAAGAATGGTTTGGCAAGGGCATATCCATCAATCAATCGATTGGCTGATTCTACGTCTCGGGGAAAGAAGAGGATGGGTACACCGCCATTGTCTGAATCTGAAGATGCCATGGAAGAAGAAAAGGAGGTTGTGGATCCGGACCGAGCTGCTTTGACATGGCATAATAATGAAATCACTGGACACAAACCAGACGATCCAGATGATGACGGAGAGGGAATCAATGGAATTGGATTTCGGCCAACGCCTGCTCTTGCTTATGCTAGAACGGAAAGAAGGAAGCAACAGATGGCAGATTACAGGAGCCGGGAAGCAAGGGAAGCTCGAGCTCGAAGGAGTGAAAGAAGACGAGGAACAGAGGAATCCGCCAGAAAGGCAGCTGAGAAGGTAGCCAGGAGAGTAAGGTTTGTTGATACTGACAACCCGGGAATCATTTCAACGTCTTGAGCTTTCAGTATTGGATTATCTCAGGAGTTTGATGGAAATTATGGTTACAGCGTTTGGTTATGAGCATAGTCTCGAGACACGGCTTAGGAATTATCATCGGTACAGGTACTGACAGGCGTACGGGGTATTTATGAAAGGAACAGGATCTCAATTTCTGAGTATACGAAATTATGCAAGCGGGATAGACGGTCATTATAGCGCAGTATGGGGCTGCTAATACATTGTTTCCGGGATTTTACTTCTTTACCAAAACTTCCAATTTGGTCTCTTAGCTGCTTCTTCAGCCTTTTTATCCGCTTCTTCCTTCAGCCTCCTTCTTTCCTTCCTCCTTTCTTCTGCCTGTGCCTCCTTTTCTGCTTTCTTCCTATCAATGATTTCTACAGCACGCTTCATATGTGCTCGTTCTAATCGCCGTCTGTACAAACAAAATTCATAGGCTCCAAAAGCAGAGAACACAAATGTGCCAACTGCCCAATTCGCGGCTTTAGGTATCGGCGCTTGGGTAAGGCGTCAGCATTCCGGCCGTTCAAGCCCAAGACAGACAATTGCAATGACATACCTCCAAATATAGCCCTGATTCCACCCATTGCAAAGCCCCCACCAATTCCAGTAAGAAAACTTTCCCTAGCACATGGATACATATGAACTTGTGAGAAATCTTGCCATCGTACAGTCTTGACTGCTGCTCCTAGAGTAGGTGTCTCTTTATGTGCACCTGCAGTATTCTGCCCCGAGCCGTCTGGTAAGGCATTTGCATTTTCAGGTGGCGTGTGAAATACTTCATATACTTTATTGGGTGTTTTAACGTGATCGGGTGGTGAGGTTGCTCCAGGAGGTGGACCCCGTAGAGTAGAATTGGAATTTCTAGTATCGTCTGCCATTGCTTCAAAGAGTTGTCTTTGAATTACTTTTTTGTCGTACAATTGAGGGGAGCTTTGTGAATTGATACCGACGGGACGTAAATATGTGGGCCACCGTAGAAGGCTGCAATGCTCCTCACTTAGCCCTGCCGATAAGGCTGAATTATACTTTACACGATTCCCACGCGCTATGGATATTTTCGCGACTCGACGCGTTCCCCAATTTGTGTTCCGCAGCCAAAAGTTACTATCTTCAATCATAATTTCACGATTTGTAAACACTCGAATTCCATACCTCATATACCAATTTACGTTTGATATTCATGGTAGTTTGATTCAGGAAAAGATTCTTTCTGAACACCATAATTCCTTCAATAGAATTGTTCAATTCCTTCCAGGAGTAAACAACTTCACCCCTTTCGCCCCGCCATTTTGGCACCACACATTCGCTCACAATGCCACCACGAAAACCACAACATGGCTTCCGTCGTGGAGGAAAGCAAGCATATCATGGACCTCGAAAAGCCAAAACTTTTGAAAAATCATCTGGAAGAAATGAAGGTACCTCATTGGAGGAAAAGATGGAAGCTGTCAAACTAGGCCATTCAATAGATGAAGCAATGGGATTTCCGCGGCATGAGTCTGGCAAGAAGAAGATTGGATGGTTGGTAAACATAAAGGCTACGACGATCGAGGATGAAAAGCATTTAGAAGGTCGGGCTGGAGTAGACTGTTACTTTATCGAGGACGATGGAGGCACTTTTAAAGCGACGGTAGAATATGAACCCTATTTCCTGGTCGCGGTCAAAAGAGGATACGAACCAGAAGCCGAGGAATGGCTTAAGAGAGCGCCAGGAGGAGGTGTTTTGAAGAGTATAAAAAGAGTGGAAAAAGAGGATTTGTCAATGCCAAATCATTTACTGGGTTACAGGAGGAGTTTCTTTGAGTGCAGGTTTAGGAATGTGTCGGACCTGTTAGCGGCTAGGAAGGACATTATGCCCGTGGCAGAGAAGAATAAGAAGAACATGAATGCAATGGATACGTATGCGGAGGTTGCTAGGTGAGTTTCCTGGGTATTGAACTATTTCTTGGCAGAAAACTAACTGGTAATCAGTGCAAATGCTGGATTTGATCTTTTTGACGACTCACGAGATGATGATAAACGACTTAATGTTTCTATTGCGGAGGGTAGCGATTTCATTGTAGATATTAGGGAATGGGATGTACCATACCATGTACGAGTAATGATAGATCAAGGTAATGGAGGGGAATGCAGTCAGATTGCAGACAAATAAGCTGACAAATTGTAGATATACGAACGGGAAAATGGTATTCGGTAGAAGCAAAACATGGTACAACGACGCTGAAATGCCTGGAAGATCGTTTGGCCAGAGCCGATCCGGTAGTTATGGCATACGATATCGAAACGACCAAATTACCCTTAAAATTCCCAGACGCTACAATCGATCAGATTATGATGATATCGTACATGATAGATGGCCAAGGATTTTTGATTACGAATCGAGAGATTGTTTCTGAAGATATTGAGGACTTCGAATATACGCCGAAACCTGAATACGATGGGCCATTTATGATTTTTAATGAACCGGACGAGAAGGCTGTTATCGAGCGTTTTTTCCTACACATCAAAGAAGCACGACCTACAGTTATAGCGACATACAACGGAGACTTTTTCGATTGGCCGTTTGTTGACGCACGAGCTAGTGTTAATGGTATCGATATGTACCGGGAGATTGGATGGCGCAGGAGTCAAAGCGAGGATCAGTACATTTGTGATTACAGTGCTCACATGGACTGTTTCCACTGGGTTAATCGTGACAGTTACCTGCCTCAAGGAAGTAGAGGTTTAAAAGCGGTGACAACAGCAAAGCTAGGTTACGATCCAGACGAGATCGACCCAGAATTGATGTTGAGATATGCCAGCGAGAAACCTCAAACTCTTGCAGAGTATTCCGTCTCTGATGCTGTAGCAACATACTATTTATACATGAAATACGTACATCCTTTCATTTTCTCTCTATGTACTATTATTCCTCTAGGACCAGATGCGGTTTTGCGAAAAGGGACAGGAACCCTTTGCGAGATGTTACTCATGGTACAGGCTTACCAAAAAGAGATCGTACTTCCGAATAAACATGTAACACCAAAAGAATCCTTCTGGGAAGGTCATTTGCTGGAGTCGGAAACCTATGTTGGTGGGCATGTGGAGAGTATTGAAGCAGGAGTTTTCCGAGCCGATATACCCGTTAATTTTGCTGTCGACACGACTGCTATCGATGAACTTCTCGAGGACTTGGATTCTGCGCTGAAATTCAGTATCACGGTTGAAGAGAAGAAATCACTGGATGATATCGAAAATTATGAGGAAGTCAAACAACAAATTGCAGATCGCCTGAATAGTCTCAAGAAAACCGCGAATCGAAGCGAAAAACCCCTGATTTACCATTTGGATGTCGCTTCTATGTACCCAAATATTATGACGACAAATCGTCTTCAACCCGACTCCATGATCCAAGAATCAGATTGTGCGGCGTGTGACTTTAATCGACCTGGTAAAACTTGCGATAGGAGAATGCCTTGGGCATGGAGAGGCGAGTATCTTCCAGCGAAGAGGGACGAATATAATATGATCAGGCATTCGCTTGAGAATGAAAGGTTTCCAGGAAAATATCCCAAACAACCAATGAGGTCATTTCAAGACCTTTCTTACGAAGAGCAGGCTGCGCTGATTCGGAAGCGCTTGCAAACATATAGTCAGAAAATTTACCACAAGATTCACGACCAAACCACCATCGAGCGAGAAGCAATCATTTGTCAGCGAGAGAACCCATTTTATATTGACACTGTAAAGGACTTCAGAGATCGTCGATATGATTACAAGGGTAAGCAGAAAGTCTGGAAAGGCAAAACTGATGCTCTCAAGTCAGCAGGTGCTCCAGCTGCTGAAGTCGAAGATGCGAAGAAGATGATTGTTTTGTTCGACTCTCTACAATTGGCTCACAAAGTGATTTTGAACTCCTTTTATGGTTATGTCATGAGAAAAGGTTCGCGATGGTATTCTATGGAGATGGCCGGTGTCACTTGTTTGACTGGAGCTCACATCATTCAAATGGCTCGTCAACTAGTTGAACGAATTGGACGGCCTCTAGAGCTAGATACTGATGGTATTTGGTGTATGCTTCCGGCGACATTTCCGGAGAACTATGCTTTTAAGATGAAGAACGGAAAGAAGCTGGCTATCTCGTACCCTTGTGTGATGTTGAATCATCTTGTCCATGACAAATTCACAAACCACCAATACCAAACTCTCACTGATCCAAAAACCTTCAAGTACGAGACGCATAGCGATAATTCCATCTTCTTCGAAGTCGATGGTCCTTATCGTGCTATGATTCTCCCTACTTCCAAGGAAGAGGACAAGAATTTAAAGAAACGTTATGCTGTGTTTAATGATGACGGAAGTCTAGCAGAACTCAAAGGATTCGAGGTGAAGCGAAGAGGAGAACTGAAGCTCATTAAGATTTTCCAACAACAAATCTTCAAATTCTTTTTGGAGGGTACAACTCTTGAAGAGACTTATCAAGCAGTGGCAAAAGTCGCGAATCAATGGCTTGATGTTTTAGATTCGAAAGGAAGGACCCTCGCCGACGCAGAACTTATCGACCTTATTTGCGAGAACAGAAGTATGTCAAAGAGTTTGGAGGAATATGGCACACAAAAATCAACTTCAATCACCACTGCAAAGCGCTTGGCGGAGTTTTTGGGTGAACAAATGGTGAAAGATAAAGGCTTGAATTGCAAGTACATTATTTGCGCCAAACCAAAACATGCACCGGTGACAGAACGAGCTGTTCCGGTAGCTATCTTCTCATCGGATATCTCAGTAAAGCGTCACTTTCTGCGCAAATGGCTGAAGGAGGATCCTACAGACATGGATCCAAGAGCGCTCTTAGATTGGGATTATTACTCTGAACGTCTTGGGTCTGTCATCCAGAAACTCATTACCATTCCTGCAGCTCTTCAAAAATGTTCAAATCCAGTGCCCAGGGTAGCACATCCGGATTGGCTACAGAGAAGAATCCGGATCAAGGATGACAAGATGAAGCAAAAGAAAATGACCGACATGTTTACTAAAACTCCCCTTGAAGACATCTCAAACCTGCAAGATCCAAGAATGGCCGACATGGAGGACTTTGGAACGCAACTTTTGAAACCTAAGACTCTAGGCTCTCAGCTAAATGCAGCCTCACAGAAACCCATGAAAAGAAAGTCTCCAGAACCTGCGGTAGCAGTCTCCATAAATCCATTTGCAGCACTTCCGGACAAGATGCCTTCACCAAGCGAAGACTATGAAGGATTCTTGGAGTATCAAAAACAAAAATGGAAGATTCAGAAACAGGCAAGAATACGACGTCGACATCTTTTCGGTGAGAATCGTGGCGCCCAAAGCAACATTGCGACTACTTTCCAGAATCAAGCCGAACAGCTATTCAAGAGTACTTGGCAGGTTTTACAATTGAGAGGCACTGAAAGTCCAGGTATCGTTCTTGCGTTCGTTCTTATTGACTCGAAAGTACATACGTTGAAAGTCAAGGTTCCGAGAACAGTTTTCCTCAATTTGAAAGGTAAGGAATTACCAGATATTGAGATTGATGGCTGCGAGGCTGAGAAGGTCACTCATACATTGCCGAACGGACATCCATCAGTCCATTTGTTCAAACTCACAATGTCTGAAGATGTCTATGTAAACGAAGCGCAAAAAATATCTTTACTTTTCAATCATCCGAGTGTGGAAGGTGTTTACGAAAAGCAAGTTCCACTAAACGTTCGTGCTGTTCTTCAATTGGGAAGTTTGTGTACATTTGATGAGACTCAGCCTGGTGTTTTAGGGAGAGGTCTTGAGCAAGGCTTCGATTTATCTGGACTCCGTCGCGCGTCGCCGAAAAATCCATATCTTTCAAATTCGTCGATGGAATACCTCTTCCTTTACCATGTTATTGCCGGTGATAGACAAGTCTTTGCACTCTTCTCGACTTCAAAAGAACAGGCACATGTTGTCATTCTCCAGAAGACCAAGGTTGCCGAACAAGATCTTCCTAACATCGCGAAAACTTACGCGGATGCCATTGCCAAACGTCATCAAGATGCGAAGGGAGAAGTTTGGCAAAATTGCTTCGAGTATCAAGAAACGATACAGTTCAAGATCAGCCAAGTCACAACAAGAAGAAAAGCATTGCTTGAAGTTGGTGACCTTGTCAAGAAAATGAAGAATGATGAGTCCAAGCCACTCATGCTCGTTGTCCAATCTCCACAGAGGAGATTGCTGGTACATGATGTGCCCATTTTAGGAGACTTGCCAATACTTCCTCTGAAATCGGACGTTCAAGATAGTAAACTCCCTCCACTAAACTGGCAATCTGTCATAGCAAAGCGCTTGGTCAGTCATTACTTAAACCTCGGGGAATGGGTCATTCATTTGACTGAGCTCGCGAGATATGGAGATGTTCCACTTTGCAACCTGGAAAGAGACGACCCTCGTTTCTTGATCGATGTGGCTTATGCGAGAAGACTACAAAGGAGTAATGTTGTTTTGTGGTGGTCTGGTGGTCCAAAGCCAGATCATGCCGGATATGAACTCGATGATGTTCTTGGTGGTCTTGACACTGTACAAATGCCGTCGGTCAATAACCCGGGTACTTATCCATCAGTTTGTATTGAGCTTGATGTCAGAAATTTGGCTATCAATACCATCTTGACGTCATCTCTGATCAATGAGCTTGAAGGAAGCGACTCGATATCTTTCAATCCTGCCGCGCCATCAGACGATGCTCCTAGTGATGGTACCAATGTTCTTTATGCCGAGAATGCTTTTGCCACTGCCGGTGTTACAGTCCTCAGAGAGATGGTCAAAGCTTGGTGGACTGAAGCTTGCAGAGGTAGTAGTATGGCGGATATTATGGTGCAGCATCTTGTCCGCTGGGTTGAGAATCCGGATTCGTTTCTCTACGATCGTTCACTACATTACTACGTACAAATGATGTCTCGAAAGGCTTTCCAACAACTCATGACCGATTTCAGGCGAGTCGGATCTCACGTCGTATTCGCGAACTCAAATCGACTTCTACTACAGACCACCAAAGCTGAAGTCGGCAATGCATATGCATACAGTCAATATATCCTTAAATCAATCAAGGCAAAGCCACTTTTCCATTTCTTAGACCTCGAGATCAAAGAGTATTGGGATTATCTAGTTTGGTACGATGAATTCAACTACGGCGGTAAAGGCTGCTCAGAAGTCGTCGAAGCTGAAAACCAATCGCTGGATAACATCATGCATTGGCAACTGAGCAATTTCCTCCCGGACAAACTCCAACAGATCTTCAATGACTGGGTTTTAGAGTTTATTGATATAATGCATGGCCTCAAGAAACCACGTGTTGGCATTGATTCTACCCCTCGCGCCACTCAAATTCCAGTTCGAAATCTAGGAGACGACAAGGAGGATAAAATTATTCTTGGAAAAAGTTTCGAAAAACCACTCAAGAAACAGATTGCCGGTATTATTCGCAGGCAAAAAGATGAAATGCTCCATCCCGAACTCGCGGAAGATTACAAATTTCCCGTTCTCCCTGGTTCGCATCTCAAACCCACAAACCCAGCGCTAGAACTCGTAAAGAGTCTTATGCAAGTTCTTTCTCTCGACAAAAACATCACACTCGAAGCTCGTCTCCTACGAAAAGAACTCCTAGAAATGTTTGAAATCCGCGAATTTTCCAACGCTGCTAAATTTCAAAATCCTTCCACTTCTGCTAAACTCTTCAGCGTAGTCTGCGATTCTTGTACCACGTCAAGAGATATGGATTTTTGTCGTGATGAAGATTTACTTCCAAATAGTGAAGGAAGTTGGAGCTGGAAATGTCTATTCTGTAATGGAGAGTTTGAACATCTAGGCATTGAAGAGAGGATTATTGGGGAGGTCATGGGATGCGTGGGGGAATGGGCGGGCCAAGATTTGAAATGTGTTAGGTGTAAAGGATTGAAGGTTAATGATTTGAGACAGGGTTGTGGGTGCGGTGGGGAGTGGGGGGAAAGTGTAGATAGAGGGGATGTGAAAATGAAGGTTGAAGGGTGGGGGAGAGTGGCGAGGTCTTATGGATTAAGAATGCTGGGGGCGGTTGTTGAGGAGGTTTTGGGGGGTCTGTAGGCTAGGTGGCTGGCCGTGGGTTGGAGTTGTTTCTGGGAGTGTTTTGGGGTGTTTATAGGGGCTTTGCTTTTGTTGGCAACGGAATGGGATGGTTGGTGTAGAAATATTGACTGCATGGCGTTTTGTATTCAAATAGTATCTAATCAACGAATTTTATCCGGTATTCTAGCTCCCTTATTTATCAATGTGCATCAGTCATTTCATCGTTATACACGTTTCTTGAAGATACTAGTGCTGGAGATTGACCGTCAATTCGAGTTCTAACATCAATTCGAAATTCTAGATCTAAATGAAAATTCAAAATGACATTTTTTTGCCGTTAAACAGAAGATAATATATACTTCTTGAACAGTCTGTGTGAAGAAGACTTTTCTCAGAATTTTCAATTTGCTTTAATGATGTATCTTCAAGAATACTCTTTTTGTGAATCATTCTTCATGTGATATAAAGCAGGTAACAGTTAAAATAACTATTTAATTAATTCAATCTAATAGCTGGATTATGTGCAGACAGTCAACTCAAATCTCAAGCCTTAGATGTACACAATCATACCATGCAATTGAACATCAGTAACCATTTTATGGAAAAATAGCTCTGGAGAATTGAGAAAAAATCTTTGATATCTTCAGATATCTCACTCTAATCCTATCATCCCGATATCCTCTAATAAGTCTCTGCTTTTTATAAAAACGCCCTCTAGTATAAGCGCCATATGGAGTATTCCAAAATAAATGACATCGTATCTCAACATAATATATCTTCCAAACGCTACTTATCTTATATAGTCAATCCTCAAATTCAAATAGTTCCAAAGGGTCGGAAGGACACTAGTCGTCTCCCCTTCTTCTAATTTGTGTCTCATAGAAGACTGACTAAATGTTCCGCCCTAGAAACCTCGTGTTTTAGCATTCCGTTTCCTACTCAACTCGTCCTGTCAGACGATATCCTCCAAATCAAGGGGTCTTGTATTCCTCATTCGCTATTGTATTTTTCCTATATAATTTTGACATGGTGTACAGAGTGTGATTTCTTCGCCTCTTTTTGATTCGGACTGATGTCTTTCGGCTGTGTGGCTTTGATTTTGTTCATCTTCTCGCGCATCTTTTTACATTCCTTTTCAAAATCTTTCTCGAAGTATTGTTTTGAGGTTTCATAGCTATCCTCAATAACTTTCTCTTCCTTTAGAAGGTCAAGAAAGGCCAAATGAGTTTTTCTGACCTAAACAGTATTAGTTACATCTCTCTCGGCGTCTCACGGAAACACAAGGTACCCACCTGATGGCTTCCGCTCATTTTGCTCCAAATAGATTTGCCAGTATACAATATATCTATCAATTCGAAAAGCCGATTTCGATTTCTTGAGTTGATATGAAACATTGTTCTCAATCCTTCCTTTGGTTTGGGAAATGTCTTTCCATCGGCCATCGGTTTGTGCACTCTGCTCAGAAATACAACTCCATTGCCTTGCAATTCATCATGAATGGTAGGAATCCAATAAATCTGTCTCATGCGAAGTCGCTTCCGATGATCTTGGTATTCTGCGAAATAAGTGTAAATGGGAAGCAGAATCGAATCATAGTCTTCTATAGAATTTCGTTCGGCTAGAGCAGTACTAGGCTTGTGTGTTCGTGACATTTTCGTTGGGTCTATAGCTACGTAGGAGAAGAAAAGAGATTATATACAGGATTAAAACTAGAGTTAATGACCAGAGAAAATGTAATTGTTATTTGATGCTCGTCATTTCATTCCTCGAGGAATGTTAGAGACATTATAAGTTTCGACGCGACGTTAGTAGTTGGGTTTACACAGGCTAACACAATCCAAGATGCTAGGACGGATTCGCCGAGCATTGTTTGGCCCGATATATACACACACGTTGCACTGTTTTTTGACCCAATCCTTCCCTGTTTTCACAGTGCTGTGAGTCTATTCTCTTACTGTTTCGTACATGAGTGTGTAGCTTTGGATGAATACATATTAACGTCGAGGTGTCTGCGCTTTTGTGAACGAAATGCCCAGAAAAAAATCGAGAGTTATATAATATGGCAATCTACGGTTACATCTGATGCGATCTATCAATCGCCTAGATGTTTCACAAAAGTAACCCTCGATATCTCATCGGACACATCGAGTGCAGAGCCTCGGCGCTAAAAATCCCACCAGCTCGCTTCTCGACCGCGTAGTAATGTACTTTAGTCTTTGGCCCCAACACAGCATTGACCACGCACATGAAGCGCTGCGATAAGCGCTTTACTGGTCTCCTAGTATGTGGCACTGTTACACGAATATTGTGTTGCTTCTTATTCTTGATGATAGCTCCAAACTTTAGAGATTTTATATTCGGGCTTTTCTTCACCCGGGGATTCGGTCTCGGCGCCTAATGAGTTGGAAATGGGGAGAAGTCATGGTGAGTTTAGTCTCGAGTTCGTGCAGTCGAAATTGGTTAGTTTCATATGATAAGCTTTATTGGTTTTATTTGTAGTTCAACTCCTGGTCAATAGTTCAATGCCCCTTCATTGCTCGCTTATTGTTGCATATCTCTTATTGGCTTTGGGATGGTTCAGTGCAATGATGATGCATGTCCACGCTGGATATTCAATATTCTATCATCCTTTATCACCTTCAAGAATCTTTCTTGGAATGTAATTGATGACACACAGGCTGGCCGAATACACGATCGAACAAATACTTTTGTGCTATCAGTAAAATTCTGTAAGTAAGGTACAGTATTTGACGACGATGTCGCCCTATTTATTACTCAAATCATATTGAGTACAAAAATTGTTTATCGATAATGAATGAATCACATTCAAATAACAAAAAAAGAAGCTGAGTAATCTCAATTTTAGATTGCAAATTTATCATAGATGATACAAAACACCTACCCAAAACAAGATTTGTTGCCTTTCGGAAAAAACAAAGTACAACACCCTTTCCCTAAATTGTTACTTATATACTACTACAAGCGAACGCAAGAAGACTGAGCCCGGGTAAGGATCCAGCCATCCTCAAAGAATCAAACATGCAATCAAAAATGACAAAATCGCGCCCAAAACCTCCGCATCAATCCAAGTTTAAAGACCAGAGTCGGTCTTGAGATAAGGAGCTTGAGATGGATACCATGCATTCCACTTATTGCAGGTATTTGTCAATGCTGGCGAGATCGGATTTACGGCGTTGATTTGGTTTTTGGTTTCCAGGAATTGTACCGCGAGACCCTCGCTTACGTGCCATGCCTGATTTGTGTGTTAGTATGGGAATTCTGAGAAGTAGTTTATGGAAAGGAGGTACTTACAATATGGCAATGCATCAACCAAGCACCAGGGTTATCAGTTTGGAATGCTAGAACCATCCATCCTCCAGCAGGCAACATGGCAACATCTCTTCTAGTTGGGTTGTCATAATCAAGGTTCGGACTATTGATAGTGTTGTTGTAAGTTCCAACTCCCGTACCTAAAAGGAAGAAATCATGACCGTGTAAATGCATTGGATGTGGGACGTTAATGGAAACTGGGTTTCCGTTGACATTTCCAGGTACTTCTTGAATGATCCAATAATACCATTGAGCGGCATTGGGCAACTCAATCAAATTCTCTGAAGCAGGCCAGGAATTGTTACCATCGAGCACGTATTGCAGGATGGGTTTCTTCCAATCGACATCAATGGCACTGAGGTTGATTCCCCATGTCACGATTGGTCCGCTGGCATCAACACCAATATTGATGGCGACGTTGAGTTGATCAACATTTCCACTAAGTGGGTCACTGGGTACAAAGCTATCCCAGAAAGGAATGATTCCAGTTTCATCGGTACATCTTCCAGTATATGGAGTAGCTGAAGATGACGGAGTGGTGCTTCCTGCTCCTGAATAGGTGAAGATACTCTTGATATTTCCATTATTGTTGTTGGTACCGCACCCATTCTGAACTTCAGCTCGGAACCAATAGCTTCCAACAGTTTGATTGGCAGTGATGATAACATCATATCTTTGGCCAATACCGATGAAAATCCAGTTTGTGGTGTATGGGACAATGGGTACAAAATCACTTGTGATCACGGTAAAAGCATGGTTATCTAGTGACACCATGAAATGATTGTCGACTGAAGTGTTGATGAGACGGAGACGGTACTTTTTGCCTGCGGTTATGGTGTTCGTGGTATATTTTCCACCAGTTTGGCCGGCAGGAGCGACCATACTACCGTTGATGAGTCCATTGTCACCTGATGGCGGTCCAGCCTGAGAATGAGCTATTCTTTCACCGAGTGCAAACACTGGAGTATAATACCAATCTGAGATGGTGTATACTCCAAGATCAACATCGTAGTTAGAAGTTGCGGGTCCGTTAATCACGATTCCACCGAGCATTCCTTCGCCATATTGAGCGGAGTAATGACTGTGATACCAGCTCGTGCCGAACTGGGTCGCCTGGAAAGTGTATGTCTTGGTGTCGCCAGGAGCAAGGGGACATTCTGTGATTCCTGGTACACCATCCTCGGTACAGGTGTGGTATTGTCGAAGCCCGTGCCAATGAATGCCAGTACCGTTATCTGGCATGGAATTCTTCAAAGTAACTTGGATCATATCACCCCACTAAAAGTATGTTAGCAATTTGCACATACCGTGAGAGCATTAATACAGGTCTTACGTCAGCGTATAGGGTTGGTCCAGGATATTGGCCATTGACCAACATGCAATTTTGGCGGGTAACTCCATCGGGAGCACAAGTCGTGTTGGTCACTTCCCAATTATATTTTCTGGTGACACCAGTGTTGGGATTCTTAGTATCAAAATCAGTTGCAATACTGAAGCCATTGCCCCAACAGGCTCTGGTGAACGGCGAGTTCGTACAAGCAGGATCAGCGACCAGACTAGAGAGAGCAGAAGTGGAACTTGAGCTTAAAGTTGTCGTGGTACCAACAGAAGTCGACGTGCCTGAAGTAGTTGTTGAAACCTTCGAAGATGATGAGCCAACTGATGACGACTTCAAGGTTGACGAACTTGAGGACTTGGAGGTACCAGATGATGTTTTTGATGAAGTGCTAGAAGCTTTCGATGAAGTGCTAGAGACTTTCGATGAAGTGCTTGTCTTGCTGCTGGAGACCGTTTGTCGGTTCACCAGACCATCACGTTCATTGATTTGAGCTGGGAGGATTGCTCCAATGGCAGCGGAAGACAAAAGTAGAATATTCAACAACTTCATTTTGAGCAAGTTAGAGAAAGAAACTTGAGGGAATTGATCTGAAGAGAGTAATATCTACGCATTCAAGTGAGACTTGATGTATTTATCTTGTCAGATCAACACCCAGAGTGTTTTGACTAGCCCCGAGATGCTTTTTCTGGATTCCCATGTCGATGCACACGAGATCGCGGTGCCGTCTCTGACACGAGGTGAGGCTCGACTGACAAGCAGGAGAAGCAGCCATCACATTGTTACCACACGCGCTTTCAGATGGCACTGTAAATCAAAAGCTTCATGGCTTACATGCATCTCGGGATGGAACATCCAATGACCAAAGATTACTGTGAGTTCAGCTGAAAACATTCCATGTCCAGTCATCTGATTTGTTGACTGAAATCAAGATTCCGGATCGGGATCACTTCAAAAGTGTACACCACTTTACATGATGCCAATCCTCAAGAACTAGAATGATAAGACTTAGTGCATGATTTGTGCTATTGGTAAAAAAATAATTCAGGCACGGCAGCATGGTACATATGCTGTCAGCCCTCGGACAGTACTGTAGTTGCTTTGGTGGCACGCCAAGATTCGTTCAATCTTCCACATCCGATATTCTACGGGAAAAGATGATAACAATAGCAACAGTTGCATCTCACACAATTATTGGCATACGTATGCTTTCCGTTCCCGAAGATATCCACAGGAAGACTTTCAATATCACGATCTTATGCCGAGGCCGAATTTCTTCATGTATGCGAGGCTGAAATGTTCAGGTGCGATCCTTCCTCATGGGATAGATAACTAGCCCGCTTGGCTTTTACCGTGTTGATCTTTGGCGGGTTGATGGGCCTAGGATTTCTTTTGTGCCGTAGAACTTAAGATCGATGGTTTATGGAAGATGTTGCGAGTGCAAACTCCGTAAAACCACCAATTTTGCTTACTCAGACTTGCAGAAACCCCTTGGAAAAATTGAATAATTAGTCTATTTTACAGGCGTTTTAGTGTGTAATTAGCGTCTGGGCACCTGTGACTGAGCTTCAATTGGGCCTAAGTCGTCCGTTATTCACGAACTTTTTGACGCCAAATCATGTTCAATTCATCCTCCGGAAGCATCCGACGGAAAATAAATATACGAAACGATACAAAATCACCTGAATCACCAAAATGAGTCAAAAGAGTCGAATATATCCTTGATTTGGTAATAAAGATTGACAAAACAATATTATGCAGCTGTTTTTAATAATCTGCAGCCTATCCTTGGCTTGAAATCAGTGAGCCACAGCAGCGGCTCGTTTATTTATTGGCTTAGTCTTCAGGCTTCTCGCGCACGTGTTTACCCTGCATCAGGGCTTCTTTTTTTGCAGGGGTTGTCCGAACCTTGGGTTTTTCTTGCCTTGGTCTTGTTTGCAATGACATCCGCGATACTCTAAAAGAAACAAAGCTTTGCGGCTTGGTATTAAACACAATCTTTACTGAGCGGCACTCATTTTTGTAGCACGCTGAAGATCGCTAGGACTACTGACTTATGACGCGGTCGTATCGGAGTTGAAAATGCCATTGAAAGCCTTCTTTATATCAAAATGACCAAGATACACGGTATACTTACCCCAGTACCGATACCGAGAATAGGACAGCTGCAAAGATGAAGATTGTGGCGTTTATCTGCGTCCGAATCAGAGGTAGTCAGAGATAGTTGGAAATACCTAGTCATCTCACGTTACTGTACAGTAGCTTTGAAGTATCACTCAAGTCACTGTCAGCACACACATCATCCTTCGTATTGATCCTTCCTCTCATTGCACTCTCCAGGCTCTCTCCACATTTGTCACTCCACTTCATTGCATCTGACAAGAAGAATTCAAGCAATGAAGCCAATAAGAATCATTCTTCGAAATCGACTTCTTGAGTTTGTTGTGCGGCACAGCAAGGCTTGTATCTTGGTCTCTAGTGTAACGCAGAAGCTGGAGACGTTCCGTTTCTATTGCTTTATGGATATTCTTCATTCTGTCAGATGGAATCTGTCAATATTCTGGGTGGTGTTGGAAAATCCTGTGTAGTATTGCGCGTGTCCACGATTCTGTAGCTGCGGTATGTTTCTTTTTTTGGATGGGCTCGGCGAGGAGCGGAACAGCTCAGATCCAGTCGATCCAGCTCATAAAGTATTTCCAGATATCAAAGTTGATATATGATCCTGCGAACCCAATTGTAACTCACATTCATCAAATTCATCGTTCACCATCATCTGGCTTTTCATCATGTTTTCTTCAATCGTTCATCTCTCTTGCACGCTCGTTGTATTAACATCTATCTTTACTTATGTCAAGGCAGACTGTAAATCATATGGTATCGATTTCCAGAATGGAGGTAACTACTTCATCAACAGCGCAGATAATTCCAGCTTCACCGCCGTCACTCAATTTACCGGATGCTCTGGCGAGGCTGAGGTGATTCTTGTTGCCCCTAATGATGATTCATGGGAGTGCAGTGACATTGAAACTCAACCTGACAGTACAAACATGCTTTCAACATGGTAGTTATACTTTTCAAGGACTTCAAGTTGACACTTTGACTAATGTTTTTCAGTCCTATTTCCAAAAATCAGATGTACAGCGGAACTTGGACCATTGTTATTTTGGCAAACAACGGAGCTGGAGCTTCTTTCGCCGCTCAGAGAACATTTGAACTCACCGTTGGAACTCAAGCCACAGTAACATATATCCCAACCGGTAAGTTGTTCAAAGTGATGTAATGAAAGTTCTGGGAATTTGACATCCGTTAGTGAATATCACGAATGTTGTGACACCATCAACAACTCTACCAACTACCATTACTGACACCGATTCAACCACGCTTCCTGCTGTTACAATCACCGCAGCTTCAGCCACTGCCAAAAATACAGTTACAGTTACACCCAAGAAGGTCACAATTACGGAAACGACCACATCCACACGGACTATCACTTCAAGAAAATACACCTTCCCCATCGTTACAGTCACAAAAACAGCCTCATGCAGACTTCCCACCAAGCCTCCCATGCAGGATGTATACCCCAATCAACATTTCCTTCTCTTGGCACAAAGTGTTACATCCGATTCTTCCGTTAAACGTACTGCTATGCCAGCACCCGCAGCTGCAGTCATTACCCCGGCTCCAAGGGCCAATCCTGAAAGCCGAGATGCTATCGTTGACATTGCTAATATTCTTGGACGTCGCGCTGTTGGTCGCGTCATCGCAAAGAAGCTTAAGAAGCGTGCTCCAGATGTTCCAACTGTAACAGTCACCGACACAACCACATCTGATTGGATCACATCCACTGTTACCAGCACTGCTGCTACTACAACTTTCTATAGCACAGGTGAGATTCTACTTTTTGAATTTTGTTTGATGAATGCTAGTATTTACTAATACACCTCACTCATTTAGCTACTACAACTACATTGACCACTATGTAAGAATAAATTCCCTCTCCAAATTATCTAAATCTAACAAAACCATAGTACACCTGCACCAGTTACTATTCGCAGCGGAGTAACTACTGCAACTGTAACGGCACCAACGCCTACATCAACAAAGACTACCCAGACTTTCACCATTACCACAGTCACATCGACAATCACCCACAAGTATGTGTATCATTCCTTCTGTGAATTTCAATCCATGAGAGCACTCTCATTCTTTAATCCAATCTTGCTAACATCTCACTTTCTCTAGGATCACGATCACAAAGACGACGACGCCGGCTTCGGTCATCGCAACTTGCACTTCGAAGGGCGGTTCAATTGTTTGATTATCTTAGAGGATTTTTATGGTTTTGTTCTTCTACATTTCTTTGTTCGTTATGTTCTGACCATTTCTTCTGGAGTTTTTGATCCGAAGAAATTGGGGTGCGGCGCGATTTGATTCCAGAGCTATTTTCTATTCAAAGATGGAATTGTGTCAAGTCACACCACGATACGAGCTGGACGATGTTACATGTTTTCCTCTGTTTACCTGGAGTTATTTTTATGTATTTGTGCAATTAAATCAAGTATTGAAATATTCTCGTGTTCGCCGTCTGCAATGTAGCATTCGGCTATGTGACCCGTATATGCTTGATAAATCTGCATGCATTATGCACAGCATTTACCCCCGGATTGTGGCGAATCCCCCGAACGAAATATCCGCTGGCAGTGCATGTCTAGTCTTCCCAATATTTCCTATACAAGAAAGTTTGATAGATTAATGCTCAATATCCATGCATTTTATCGCGGCTCTAGTTCTACATTACGTTTTTTTTGATGTAATTTCGGCTTAAGAAAACAGGAGTCAGCTTTGATCGCTCGTCTAGATAATGTCAATTATAAGCATGCATCTGTCGGGTTTCTAACGTTCAAAGGCCTCTCATGAATGTTAATTCCGGTCTTTAAGATTTCCATAAGCTGAGAAGTCGATTCAGGACAGTCACAAACTTCATTATTGATCGATGATCGATTCTTTGAAGTCTTGCTATGTCTGAGCAAATATAGTTCTGTGCTAAAGCAATGCTGATACCTTGAAAGTATAAATCATTCCCGCGTCATTATACCGTCTTTCATTTAGTAAACCCCAGCCCAAGAACAGCACGCTGCGTCGACAGGCTATCGAAATAAAGTTGCGAAAACTAGCGCCATTCTATAAGCATAATATGACCGGAGCTCTTCTATGTACTAACAAACATAGACTTCTCATTCAAAAAGTTCTAGAATAAGCAGAAAATAGCATCGAAAGATCCCAGCAAGTACAGCAGAACGATGTATCATGCCATTTCATATAGCATATCAACATGCAACGATTCAGTTCCAGGAACAAACAGCCATCAAGTCCCCAAATAGAAATATTCACCGCCACTAATCATTCGCTCGATCGTGTCAATCGTGGAAACTGCAAGCCTAAGATCCACGCCCTTGGTTCCAGCTGGCGCTTCTGCAAGCCTTTACCCTCCCACTGAGGATTTCGGGCTTTCGCTACTTTTACTGACGGGAACCAATATGTCAATCCATGCCCCAATTTGTCTGTTAATGCAGTTCGTCTGACTCTTCCTTTAGCTCTCGCTGATTCGGAGTTTCTATTCAGCTGCCAAACAAGACATCAGTCAAGGCATGAAATATCCCACTACCAAGCGCCCTTCATCTAAACATTCTTCAGATAAACATCACACGTCGCACAAGAATCAAGATCGGAGTTTCCAAGTCTTGAATATCAAGGGTGTATGCCTTGTGCCTGAGCTGACATTCATGCAATATATCCCGCGACTCCATGTTTCATCTTGACTCACTCCACCGCCAGCTCGTGATTAATGCTCCGTTCTATTCGGAACAATACTCGGAACGATGTTGATGTCAATAAATCTACGGTAAGCTGCTGAGATGAGATGGCTGTGTAAAGCCAATATACGCCTCTTGTAAACCCTTGTGAACACTATCAGTCTGAGTTTCTTTGCGTAATTGTTCAGTTGATAGGTAGGTAGATATTGCAAGGTAGTCTTACACGAAGTCAGCAAGGCTGACATTTTATGGGAACAATAAGGATACATTCTAAGTACTTTAATGAAATCGAATGAAGTTGCGGGGATAAGCTTGCATTGATTATGGTGAGAAAAAACCTTAAGACCACACACACGTGTCACGCTGTGCATGAATATCGCATCAGCATCAGCATCGGAAAATTATTATCCCACTTACCGATTGTGAGACGAAAAGTACTATGAGACATCATAATGGGATACGAAATAGATCTAAGTCAGGGTCCGGATTTCCCCAGTCGTTCGAGTCCCTCTCGTGTTCTTCTAACGGCTGTTTACGTACCTATGAAACAACAGTTACACGCGAGAGACATTTCAACGAAGTTGTGCGCAATGGAAGCTGCATTTTCATGGATGTATGTAGAATTGTTTCGTGCAAGTATATAATTCGACGCGACGTATATAATTTTGAGTCAGCAATCTGATGTGTCACCAATCTCACCCCAAAGTCTAGACGCAAACAATTGATGTTTTTCTGTATGTCAAATTCAGACCCAATATTACTGGACCAGTAGATAAGCTATTATGCCCACCACAACCCCACTACTGGAGAAGAAACTAGAGGTTAATAATCTCCTATTTAGGATACTTGACTTACGGTGTATCAACATTTTCTGTCTTACCTGTGCTGTATACATATGCATGTATGTGCAAGGTGTACGCAATCTTCTCGGAGCTAATTGCGAACCAAGCCACTGGTATAGTGTAATACATATCGTGAGAACACACGACAATACATGATAGCAATAAATTCCAGGTCCAGAAAATTGATAGAATTATGTAATGCATCTATCTCCCTAGAACCCTCCCAAATCGAATTTGAAAACAGCACACCGCTTGTCCAGTGCTCCTCCATTCACACTTCCCACCCCATTAACATTGAACAGAGCAACCTGATTAAAACCTTCATTGATATTCAGTTTATTCCACCCTGGACCCGCTTGAGGATTTTTGGCGAAATCGGCCCATGACTTTTGGATCAAGGCACTTAGGCTTATTTCGGCTGCGGTAGAGTTTGCGGGAAAGTTACCAAAGACGAGAGGAATTTCTGAGGAGTGATAAGCGCCGAGACCTGGGACTGGTTGGATGTTTGCAAAGGTTGCATTGTAGTAATAGCGGAAGGTAGGGTAACCGGCGGCGGAGCTTAAGTTTGCGACAATAGCACCAGGCTGTGGGGTGAGGTTTAGTTAGAGGTTTTTGGAAAGGAAGAGGGAATTGGGCTGAACGTACACATTGGAATATTATATCGGTATAAATTTGTTCGACAACAGCAGCTGGTGTGTTCAATCCATTTTGGCCGACAGGATACGTAGCAAAAACTTCAGCCTGCAGTGTGGCGTTGCCCGAAAATAGTGTTTGTAAAGCTGCCGTAATATTGCTTTGTCCATAAACGAAAGCAGAACCCTCCTGAGCATTTGAGCCGATAAGTACCGGTACATTTGCTATTTGGCGATTTGCTCTCCTGAGTTGCGGGTTTGAAACACGAGTCAAGTTATCTACAATTGGCTGGAACGATAGTCCCGCGTGCTCAATGTAAGATTTAATGGTGAGTGCATCGGCAGCTCGTAGGCAAGCAAGCACGCTACCGGTTTTGGAACAACCGAGGCCAGCAGCGAGGGCATTCCAAGATGAGGTTCCAGAAACAGTGCCAAGTCCGGGTGTAGCCGTTAGGGTCCGAACACTGTCTTGCCCAGATTGCATGATTGCTGCGCGAAATGGTGGAAAAATTGAATAACTGGTGACTAGAGCATCCACAGAGAGTGCACCGGCGGATTCGCCGAATATCGTTACTTTAAGAGGATCTCCACCAAATGCTAAGATATTGGCTCTGATCCAAGCCAGTGCTAGTCGTTGATCAAGAAGTCCTAAGTTCTGTCCTATGTTGGGCAATTCCGGAGAATTTGGAAAGCCAAAAACTGTGTCTGATTAGCCATTGCTAGATCATAATGTCAGTTTTGAAGAGCACCAGAGCAGATTCACCATTAGTTCGGTAGTTGAAAGTTACAACAATCAAATTTTGCTTTCCAGCAATATTACTACCATCATAGTATTGAGATGACGCTGAGCCAAACTGCAAAGCACCACCATAAATCCATACCATCACCGGAAGTAATGAAGCGGGAGTAGCTGCAGATGGAGCATATACATTGAGATATAGACAATCTTCACTTTCTGACACAGGTGGTGGGTTATTGAAGAGAGTTAGGGTGAAGGCACGAGCAGCATCTGGATCTGCAGGTGGTCAGGAAAGCTCTGTTGAAGATAAGATGATATCACGTACAGTTGAATTGCTGGATACATGCTGGTTGAAGCTGTGTTGCGTTGTATGAATTGCCTGCGAATGAGCCTGGTATAACAGGTGGGCTAAAGCGTTGAGGTGGTCTTGCAAAAGGTATACCGAGAAATTTGGCAACAGGCAAAGTGACTCCTGGGACGGGGGAAAGAATGCCGTTGATGACGCCTTGAGGAACAATGGCGATTGAATTGAGAGCCCCAACAAAGCCGACTAGAGCCAGAAGAAAGCCAGTCGTAATCATGATGAAAAACTTTGCTTTAAATCTCTGGATTGTCTAGAAAGAATGAGTCGAGAAGATGAAGCTTTCGATAATCTCATCATTTTGGAATCGAACATTGTGACTTTATACTTCTTTTACCATGTCAACAGTGTCATTCATGGCGCGTTGGTTAGCACCATTTCGCAATCTTTTACATTACATTCGCATCATTTGCAAACATCTGCAATTCCTCGGGACATTCTCCAAGTCGAGATTATCGAGGTAACGTTGGTAGAGTCGCCAATCGCAACTCTTCCACCAAGTTGAACTCCGAGGTATAATGTTATGTGGCGGCATTGACTACTTTAAATGACAAGTAATCATGGCAATAGCGTAAAACCGGGATAAAATTTGTCTGTCAATGTAATTTTGCCAGATTTGACCGTTTTTTAGAACTTCTTGATGGTAGTAGAGATTTCATTAGACTTCTCATCAAATCTATGAAAAATGCCGAGGTGTTAAAATATTCCAAATTTATTGATCAAGTGGAGTGAGAATAGATGATCAAATGAACATATTAAGAGGTGAAAAAATGGATTCTGGTTTTCCGTTTCTGCGCCTTATAAAAGGGAAAGAACAAACTTTCATCTCATGTTTCTTCAGACAAGGATCCAGAGCGTGGCCCTCGGGGATGGTGATATGCTTTGAAATCCGCAAACCCTCGCCTTTGCGAGATACGTATGGCTACGATTGAAGGCAGGACTGCAGTAACGTGAAAGCTGAGATAAACCACAAGGATAAAATCTTCAGCGGATAAATGCATCGGATTTATGTCTTATTGAAGCAAAGTCTCCGTCTGGGGTAGGGTGAACATTATGAATGGGGTAGGAATCGCTTCAAAGAGCCAATTGAGTGCCGAGCTGCCGCTTTTAATGAAAGAGGAGCTTTGACCAAGGCATCCAGAAGACTAGACATTTCAAGTTTCTTTCAAGCACCGAACGCATAGCTACCAAGCATGGTATACACTTTCCACGGATCGTTCTCGCTTCTTTTCTCGAGAATTTGAGCAACAAGTTCGGCATTTCGAATACCAAAATGGCTGCCGATATAATGCAATTTTTCGGTAGCCCATCTCCATACATTGAGGTCAGAATCTCTGACAAATCCGGCTACGTAAAGTGGGAATATAAGTGTATAGCAGGCCAATCTGTGCGAAGGTGTGTGTGAAGTGCATGAATTATTCGATGTAACAATTGGATGCAGTAAGTCCATTTGTCCCAGCGACCTTACAGCACCTATACAATCGAGATATTGTGGAACAGAAGCACAAATGTTAGACGCAATCTCATTTACTTTGGTAAGATACTGCGAACGCTCCATCTCAGTGGTGGCGTTTGACACGAGAAAGTTCACCACTAAAATGTGAGCCAGTCTCACAACATTCCACGTCTGGGTTGAATGTCTATCGGGGTATGAATAGTAGACGTTTCCATAGACCATCCTAGAGGGTAGAGCCCTGAATATTTGTTTGATTCTTACATCGCGGTCAGAGAAATTCTTGAGGATGGAATCCAATTCTCTTGCTTCTCGAAGAGAGCTTTCCGTGGCGCGTTTTCCATTCTGAATATTGCTTTGCAGATTGACATATTGTGCCATTATCTTCGACAATTGCCATTTGGGGTTCCTAGGAACATCAATTGAAGGACTTTTCTCCATGTATTCTCGAAGGCGAAAGAAGCCACTCGGAAGAGCAGTACCCGCTGCGAGAGAGGTAATGAGCAAATTTGTGCTCAATCGTGTGAAAGCACGCATTGCAGCACTTGATGTAGTAAATTGGTCTCCACATTTTTCGGATATAGCGAGAGCACCTCGTAGGTGACTACTCCACCCTCGGCTTCCAAAAGGTTGAGTAGTTGAGAGCTTTTCGAACAAATCCAAAAGTAGAGTTGTGAATAGTGTCGTCATTTCCTTTGATGTTTCAGGTGATTCTAGAACTTTACTCATGACGCCAAGAGCGCATGTGTACCTCTCCAAAGCAATTAAACGCGCTTTTTGCGAGCCAAACTGGTGTGAAAGATATGCTAAACTGGCGGCATCTATTGTTAACTGCAAACATACAGGTGCTTTCTCCGATTGATGATATGGTTTCAGGAAATCCCAAGCCCCTGATCCGTTAATTTGACCTGCAAGAATATAATGGTCGAAGAACAACTCTTTCGCCTGAACGTCGAGTGCCAACGGAAGATAACGTGGTTCGGTATTGGCAGCTCCTAACTTCATCACCAGCGAATCTCCTCCGCCATTGGTTTCATTAATACGCTGACGCACAGCCGTCGCTTTCTGATGTAGGCTGTCGGTTTCATCTTTGATGCGCAGCTTTTCGGTATCCCGATATCCAGTGCAAATCACCCAGGCTCTCATGCATGAGCCACAAGTCACGGGCGCAAGGTCACACTGCAACGAATGTCAATCGTGATTTATTTAAAAAGATCGCGTTTTGAAATACCTTGAGTCTCCGAGCTCTACATCTTTCACAAGCCTTAGATGGTTTTCCACGAAAGGACATAATGATGATTCCACACCGAGAATCAAACGAAACTCGGAATTTGATATTGCCGCGATGGATAATTTGGCACGTGTGATTCTATCAAATTAAGCGAATAAGTCGTACTGTAGATAATTACCCAAACTTAGACCAGTTGACTGATTAACTGGTTGGTTAGACTTGGAATTGAATTTGGTGATTTTTCTCTCTTTGTAAGAAGACTGCTGGATTTTCTTCGACTTCAACAAGCCAACGGATGGAGAATTTTGGAAGAGTTACTAGTTCCACTCGTGAGACTGATCCACAAACATTCCAAGCCTTACCTATTCTAGGATACATTTCGACGCTAAACCTTTGTCCAATGAAACTCATCAAAAGTATTGGCTGTGAACTTCGCCTTCAATCCATTCTCTTAGCTAGAGACGGAGAGCGGTACAGACATCATGCCTTTGAATTCAAGGAGAGCTCTGATGGCGCTCATGTCTGATCCATCTCAAAGTCCGATCCATGACATTCGGAGGACTTAAGATTATTAACTCCTTGGTGTAAATCCTATAAAGTTGTTATGAAAGCCATTGTCACTTCTCAATATCTCAAATTATCACAACATTCCACTTATCACTCATACATTATTCCGTATTATCAAAGCTATCAAGCCTTCGAAATGACATTCCCTTATAAGCACGTTCTCCTCATCGGGGCTACATCTGGAATCGGTCTTGCAATGGCTGAACGTCTCGTTCAAGAATGTAAAGTCACCGTCGTCGGTCGTCGCAAGGATCGACTTGATGAGTTTGTAGCCAAGCATGGCGATAAAGCGAAATCCATCTCTTTCGATATCGGTGATACTGAGAAAGCCTCTCTATTTGCAGCTGACGTGATTGAGAGCTCTCCTGATATCGATTGCGTCTTCCTCAATGCAGGATATCAACGCAAACATGATTTTTCTAAGCCTGAAAGTGTCGATATCAAGGGCTTCAACCATGAGATGCACGTGAACTTTACCAGCTTTGTGGTATTAACTCATGCTTTTCTTCCGTATTTTTTAGAGAAAAAGCAGGAAACCAGCTTCATCTAGTTCGTTACCTCGTCACAGATTCTATGTCACTTCCAATTTGGGAAACGAACATTAGCTAACGAGATAAAAGCACAACTACAAACCTGAGCATGGTGCCAGCCGCAACTCTAGCAGGTTACTCTGCTTCCAAGGCAGCTCTCAGCGCATTCATTCTTTGCTTGAGGGATGACCTTCGGGACACGTCAGTAAAGGTCATCGAGTTATCCCTCCTATGGTTCAAAGTAGGTTTCATGCTCACCTTCCTATTCTGTCTCCGCCATCTTGCCTCCATTGTTCCATCACCTACTTCAATACTCTCATCTCATTCCCGCCCGTTGCTTCTTTGTTGCCCATCCCATCCGAACTAACACTCACGCCAGCCGAACTCCACGACTATATGGGACCCCACGGTCGTAACCTAGGTATGCCCACCGGCGAATTTACAGCCAAAGCATACACCGGTCTATGCAGCGGTGAAGACACCATTCTCATCGGAGATTTAGCTTCTGCTGGTAGCATCTTGGATATTGCTACCAAGAGACGGGAGTTGTTTGAGATATTAGCGAAGTTGATCAGAAGTCATTAGGCTTAGATATCTGGAAACTGGAGAAGGAGCAAAGATGTGTCGTAACCCAGTAAATGGAGGGTGACTCATGGGTATACAGTGAGGGGCTGAAAATCGGAACGCTGTCTTCGCAATAATGTATTAACGAACTTCGGTATTAGGGAAATATAATCGATTGACCAATACACAAACATAGGATTTCTACATCAACCGAGGATTATTATATTTGAAACAGAAACACAAATGAAATGGTTTCCCATCGAGCGCTTATAATAACGAACGAGGTCAAAGACTCAAATTTGAATCATGAATGAGAGCAAAGACTAAGAGTACAAGATGGTCCAATCCCAAAACATGAATATTTACTAGTTTGAGAAATTCTAATAGACTAGATATCAATATAAGAGATGTATCGTAAGCAATAACTAGCTTATAGATGATGCAACATAGTAGATACAGGAACTTTCCCCTTGTGCGTGCTTGACCAGTAATAGGACGCGGTAGACAAAAAAACTCAGGTCTAAGTAGTTTCTCGAGATTGTTTTCGGCATCAAATATTGTGATCAAGCTGTCATGATTACCTCCTAATAGAGTGATATTCATAAGAGCTACAATTCCATCTGTAAGACAAGACCAACTATCTCACTCACAAAAAGCCAAGCGACTAATCAATCAAAAGCCAGTTGAAAAAGTAGTAGTATCCGAAGTGGTAAGACGTTGTTGAGTCTCTTCTCACCATGATAGATTTTGACCCAGTGATGAGCGACGAAGTGAACTGTTGTCTTGAACTACCTAGGCATTCTCATACTGTAAACAACCAATCTCAAGATTGATTGCGGGGAGTTGATGCTGTAGCCTCGTACGGTCCGTGCACTGGCTGATCACAACCTTCGATGCAGCCTTGTTCTTATTCCCGCCTTCTACATTCACGACGCGCTTTTTGGAAAGTACTCAAAGGATGAAGGAGAGGCAATTATTGTAAAAATCCGAGATATATAAAGGTAGAGTGCGACGAACAAACTTGGGAAAATAATGGCAGATTGTATGCGTTCATGATTTTTCACAGTATTTCCAAAATATGGCCTTGGTCAATTCTCTAGGTCTACATCAACCTACAGGACTTCAATATGCTATTAAAGAAGGATACCTGACTGCAGATGCATCTAGTGGTTCTTACGACTGGTATAATGTTTGCGACTATGATACAGGCTCAGAACTCGACGACGAACTATTAGTTACACCAAGATGTGTAATTTGGTCTCGGGGAGGGGTTTTTCGAAAAAGCTACAATTTTGATCTCGAGAAAGAACCAATTACACAGGCATTGTTGACTTCATTTCCCAGCGTGGGACCACTGCCATCCAAGAATGGAACACCAAAGACACATAAGAAAGGCTCGAACACAAAGGAAAAGGCAATTGTAGTGTTCTTGAAGACGCAGGCGCATGTTTACTTTCTCTCTGGAACCAGCCATGTTATACATTTGCCATTTGAAGTCGAGTCTGCCACTGCAGCACCTATCGGTCTCATTATACAGCGAAAGTTACGTTCAGAAACTAACGTTGCAGCATCTATAAAGTTTCCACGAGTACCACCCAACTCCTTTGTCTCGTCTCAGCCCCAACCATGGTCTGCGACAAGTTCAATCCAGTCCACCTTTTCCACTGCGGACTTGGGTGCTCCTATGCAGATGCCAACTCAAATGTCTACTTTGGGAGATTTGTGGGAACCTCCTTCTATTCAAAGTGATGCAAACTGGCCACGACTATTTTCCTTGTCCGATCCATTGTCGGAAATGGGTTTGGTTGTTGCTCAGCCAGGCTTGTCTGATGGCCAAGTAAAACGTAGAAGTTCTGGCAAAATATCAACACTGGACCCTTCGGAAGAGATTCTTCATGTATCTCGACCGAACGAATTTTCTGCCAAAGACTCAGAAAATCCTCTTGTACTAGCCATCACCCTTAATCGCGAGACTAGTATGTATACTGTGTGGAAGCTGACTTATGTTGGACAAGAAACAATACCAAACGGCAAATCTCGAGTTCCGAGTGGTGCAGCGTCGCGCCGACGAAGCTCATTCATGCCGGGTGGAACAGGAGCTACAACACCCATAGGAAATAGTCAACAGACGATGCGAGAAAGCTTTGGTGGAGTCACTCCTGGATTCAAGAAAACCCCTGCATGGTCTGAAGATGCGAAAAAAGACAAAAAAATCGATTTTGCCTCCACGCTTGATCCCGATTATGAAGGTGGCATTATGCCTAGGAGAAGCTCCCGACGTGTAAGCTCAATGTTGGCGAGAGCAGATCTATCAGCTTCACACGAGAGAAATGCTTTCTCTGAGCTAGCAACTGGTCATCAGCACAATGCGGGTCGACTTCGCGATTCTTTGGGAAGCCAGCATACTAGAACGAGCATTGGATTAAATGGGCAGACTTTCTCGCAGCCCAGTCAATTGAGCCAGAGCGTCAACAGTTTTCTTGAAGCACCAGTCGACGAACTTCTGGATCAACTTCGTGCTGGGGGTGATTTTGGCGGCTTCAATGATATGGGCCTTGATGATGACGAATTTGACGCTCTTAGACAGGAAATCATCCTTACCAAAGTTTGTAGTGTATCCGCCGAGCATAGTAACCTTCGCTTTTCTAGCCAACATATACCAGCAAAGAGTCAATGTAAGATCTTTATACTACCTGCACCACCGTCTGCGGCAGATGATCATCAGGGAAATTCAATAGTCATATGTATCTTGGATTCAGACGAGAAAAAGCTTCTTGTAATGACTCTTAACACCAAAGTTCATAGAAGAGCTAACTACAATGACAATGAGGTTTCTTCAAATGCGGAGAAGGAAATAACATTAGTCAACTTGAAGGAAGTTATGAGAGCTCCAGGTGTGATCGACGCTTGCAAATTCGATGACGGCGATATATCTCGGATTCTGGTTTTGACTGAAACAGATGATGGTTTTGGAGAATTAAGTTTACAAGCCCCATGGAGTATTCTCATGAAGGTGACTCTGCCTGCGAATTTCGTCATACACAATATTCGAAACTTGAGTCATAACCAACATCCACGTGAAAAGAGGGAGGGAAGCTTCAAGAGAGTTCTGAGTCAAGGTCCCCGTGCTTTGAAGGGGCTGCGTAACCCAAAACCTCGAGGCTTGGTCGATTTGGTGGATGATGAAGGCAAAATGCATCAGCTGCAAATACTCATGCAGCCACGCAGTCCTTACGTGGCTAAAATTCTTGAGGTGTGCACTAAAGTTCTACCGGGTGCAAGTGGGGGCGAAGGAATGCTTGTTACATGGTGGAATGCTATGAGGTGGCTTGAGCTTGAATCAGTTGAAACTGCAGATGCGGAATGGACGTCTCTACTCATTGTTCTATTCTCAATGGTTATTAGCTTTAGCGCAGCCAAGCAGCCTCAGAAGAAGGCTCATGCAACAAGAAAATCACGCGCAGCATTATTACGATCTAGCAGTGGCGCGCAAGTGGATGTGAGTTGCTATGAGACTATGCTCAGTCAATTGGCTCCATATGGAAACCCCATGCCGCCTTGGCTTAACAGTGGTGGATGGAAATGGCTCCTGGATGAACAAGAGGATTCCGGAGTCTTCCCTTCCTCTGGAACGGAAGGCCTTCTATTGACAACCAAGGACAAGGAAACCTTTACCAAAAGGCATGTGACTCTTGCACAAACGTTTTTTTACTCAAAATTAGGCCAGGAAGCGGTCACAGGCTATCTACCGACGGCAACTAACAAATCTCTTGAGCTTCGTCAAGCTGCTCTGATTGATGTTCTCACCGCCCTACATTTATTGCGCGAGGAGAGAAAGCTCAACACGATGACAGCCGATTCGTTTAGTACTGGCGTATCTACTCTAACACCGGTACTAACTCAAATTGTCCGATGGCTCAGGTGGGAAAGCTGGATAGATTTTTATGAGACTGAAGAAGCCTCTTTAGTAGATGCACCTTATGATATCGGTAAGCTTCTATACTCTGTATGTGAGGGTTGGAAACCGCTCACCATTTTTGTAGATCTTGTTCTCGCAAATCAAATTGCTGAGCCGTTTGATTGTCCATCGATTTACACATGGATACAGGATTGTTTTCTTGGTCGAAGGTTGATGCCCTTTTTAACACTTCAAGATATAGTGACACTTAGATCTGCCATTCCCACCAGAGGTATCAGAGATCTTGAGCGATGGCGTAGCTCAACACCGAGAACTCTGCAACTTGCTCAATTCTTTTCAAGCATGCAGGATGGATGGTCTCCTGTAGAACTTGTGGAAGCACTGTCTGCTTCTGGAGTAGACAGCCTTTTTCTTGAGACCTTGCCAGAGGCTATACTTGCCCCTCTTCAAGAAGCAATCGTTGAATGTCAAAGTGAACCTCCAACAACATGGAGTCGAGAACTGCTTGCACTGGTTGGTCGTGAAGATGTTACCATGCTGTTGACGCCCGGCCGTTCGGCTCGAAACTTCCAGCCCTCTCTTTTGGTGAGTCAAGAGTTCTATTATATCAACAAAAGCTAACATCTATAGCCACCTTCACATGAATCAAGTTTGGACGTTCATGCCATCTGCGCATCCACAACGGAGATTGAAACAACTGGAGCGTTCGATGGATCCGCTGAAGTAGACCGTCAAGCTATTACTCGAGCCATCTTCAAAGATGACAGAAGAGTTAATGAAGCATCTAATATCCTAAACACTTTCCGATCTACAATTGCTCGTGTCAAATCATCACCTGATTGGACAGAATCAGAATTGTTAGAAGCTCAAAAAGAGCACGCTCAAATGCTGGCTTATCGCACTTTGGCCATACCATCTGGAAAAGGATTACTATATTACAGTGCTCGCATTCCTCTTTTGACCCAAAGATTTGCTATTGGGGGTTTCAATCTAAGCTGTGTCATGAAGCCAAACAATAATACCATAGGTGTTGATAAGAACGCATTCACCGAAGAAAAGGTCTGTTGGGCATTCTTCCACGCAGGCGTATCTGCCGGTCTTA